CGATGGGCTGAATTGCACAAAACGCATGATCGCACCGGCTATTCTGGTGCGCGTTGCCATTTATTTCCTTTGGTGCTCTGACCAGCTCTTCTTTCATAGACACAATTCCCAATCTCCAAGTGCAGTCCTAGCAACTTCCTTTTCTGCTCTGTATAGGGTCTCTTTCAGCCAAAAAGTCTCATGCAGCTGTTCAGACGGCATGCTCCATCGCATTGACAGTCTTTCCTGAGTTCTTTTGGCATTACGTGAGTACCATTCAATAATGCTATTTACTACTATTACTAACTTTGCAGGATCAGCTGCTTGATTTGCCAGTGCCAAAGAACACTATGATTCCTCCAAAAAGGCAGCAGCGCAATTTGGAAAATAATAATCAGCCCCAAGAACATCCAGAAACTTCCCATAACTTTGCCATAGCACAAGCAGAAGAACTTCCTATCAGTAGTGCGGGAGTGAATACATCAGTCGTCCGAGGACGGGTCAAAAAAGAAGAGCGATGTCAGTGCCCGGAATGTGGAAAACGATTGGGAAGCACTTCCAGCTTACGCCATCATCATCTGCGATATCACAGCATTGAAACATCTCACGTTTGCAGCGTCTGTTTCCTAAAATGCATATACAGGAGCCATCTGATCACACATATGCGAGTGCACTCCGGAAAGCGACCGTACAAATGCAGTATGTGCAGCGAGAGTTTTACGAACAGCGGCAATCGTAAGCGTCATATGCGAAAACATACTGGTGAAAAGCCGTACACCTGCGAATTCTGCAACAGTAGCTTTTCTCTTCTTCATCACCTGAAAAGACATAACAAGACTCATTATCGTCCAGCGGCGATGTGAAATATTACTAATTTTACATATTAATAATTATTATTGTCACAACTTGTATTTTTTAAAATTTTAAAAAGGATATTAGTTCTTTTTCCCGTTTCGGTTATTTCCTATCATAATTACAAATGCGGGAAAGTTTTTAGTAGTTTTGCTGCCTTCAGCTGAAATTCAAATTTTTGAAGTGCCAACATCAAAACGCACCTATCAAGATGGTCTGGGTAATTGGGTATCCCATGCTAGTGAGGAGTCACTGATAAGCTCCCACACGCCTGGTCATGCAATTCTGGACTATGTACCTCGAGTTCGTACCTATAGTCCGTTCAATGTTTCTATACCATTTCTTTGTTCATCATCCGAGTGGTCAGTAGTCGTTTATTTTCTCGTAGTTGCCTTTCACGGCAGAAGATTGCGGTCTTTTCAATTTCCCTATTTTTTCGTTGCAGAAGTTGAAAATCGTTGGGTGAATAGCACATGTTTTTCACAGATTTTAGAGCTAAAAATCTGCTTTACCATTTTTTTGAGGAGACTTTGTGCCGTTCTGCATGAATTTATAATCTTGCACAATACCAGTTTACACTACTTCATATATGGTGCTCCAATTATTACGACATTATCTAGGCACCAAAATAACAGAAATCTTCAATTCCAGACCGCACATGCGGTTAGCACAAAAGTCATCAGCAACTGAAATTTTTTGGTGCATGTGTATCTGTAGCTGTTATTGATTTTTGCAGTGCTTCGATTTTTTTGAAAGAAATATTACTTAGGACTACAACTACCTGTAGAATGACAGTTTTATGGGA